AAAAGCAGTTATGATTAAATATGACGTCAGGAAATGAAGGAAAATGAAAGGTTGCTAGTCGAAATCTGTTTATTACAAAAAATGTCAATTTCTACATTGATTCGAAATAGACATTTATTGGGGGCAATTTGTTAGCTGAAGATTTTGACATTTGATAAAAATATGAAAGTTGATTTGAGAAGATCATGTTTTAAAAAATAACATGAAATTTGACCTTATAAGGTTATTTTATAAAGCTCATTTTTATGATTCGATATGTCTAAGGGAAACTTAAATTAAAAGGAGTATTTCAAGATATGTGAATACATCGACAGTCATATTGGTTGAATTCAAAGTTGAATTCAAAAGCTTCGAGCGGGAAGTTTAAATTTCAAACTAATGTGTTTTCGCCAGGAAGACGCGTGGAAGCGCCAAAATGTATGCATGTAAAAGATGTCGAACGTGGCGTAATCTCATAGAAAGACCGTTAGGGTCGAATTAGTATAAATAAGAGTCTTAGATGTTAGGATTCAGGGGTGTTCATATTTTATACAAATCACTCATGCTCAAAGTACCAGAGCGAGAGAAAAGAGTTTATTGATAATGTATGTGTAAGAACACCATCATTTTTATTCAAATTTGTTTTCTTATTACAAAGTTATTTTAATTGCTTTCTTTATTCCTTTTCGTTTCCAGTCAAATACTTTTAACAAATTTTGTCGAACTTCCTTTATAAGCATTTTTTCTTTATATTTTATAAACATTTAGATCATTTTCTTGAAAGTTATATTTAAGATTCATAGCCAAATTTTAAACATCTTGAAGTAACCATAATCACGTAGAAATACCTTATTGTTATGTCAAATTCTAAGTCAAATTATAACACTAAGACACATGTCCTAGGATCAATCTAGTCAATCCTGTAAGTTACCAAAACATAGAGTTTGGAAGACTAGCGGTTGTTTGTCAGAAATTACTGGTAAACAGGTTGCTTTTTAGAAAGCCAAGTAAATGCAGTGTTTACCATGAAGAATGCATATCTAGAAGTGCTTTTTCGATCGCCTATATCTCTGCACCAGTCACTGTCAGAGTAACCAACTAACTTGTAGTCTTCTGTTCTTGAATAAAACATTCCAAGTGACACTGTTCCTTAGATGTACCTTAGGATTCGTTTCAATGCCTTCCAATGTGTGTGTACTGGCTCCTCCATGAATCAACTTACAATGCCAACACTTAATGAAATGTATGGCCTTGTGCATGTGAGATAGCGAAGACTACCTACCAAGCTTCGATATTTGCTTACTTCAACACATTCTCCTTCATCAAATTTTGACATTTTTGCATCTGGTTCCGTTGGCGTCGAAGTTGGATTGTAGTTTTTCATCTTATATTTTTCCAAGATTTCTTTTGCATATTTTTCTTGTGAGATAAAGATTCCAGTTTCTTCTTGTCAAACCTCCAGACCAAGAAAGAATATCATCAGACCTAAGTCTGTCATTTCGAATTCGCGTGTCATTGTGCTATTGAATTCTTCTATCATCTAAACATCACTGCCTAGAAAAATAGGTTCATCAACATAGAGAGCAACAAGTAATACATTACTTCCATTTTTCTTCACATATAGGGCATGTTCATAAGGACATTGCTCGAATCCATTCTCTTTGAAATATGTGTCAATGCGTGTGTTCCATGCCCGTGGTGCTTGCTTAAGCCCATATAGCGCTTTGTTCAATTTCAGCACCTTCTTCTCTTCTCCAATTCTCATATACCCAAGTGGTTGTTCGACATAGATTTCTTCTTCGAGTACACCATTAAAAAATGTTGTCTTGACAATCCATTTGAAATATTGGCCATTTGAATTGAGCAACTTGAGAAATGAGCAATCAAATTGTCTTCATTCTTGCAACAAGTGCAAACACTTCATCATAGTCAATTACTGCTTTCTATTTGTATCCCTTTGCAACAAGTCATGCTTTGAATCGTTCAATTTCTCCTTGAGCTTTCATCTTTTTCTTGAATACCAACTTTACACAAACGGGTTGAATACCTTTTGGAAATTCGACTAGCTCCCAAGTATTGTTGCGGTCTATTGCTCTAATCTCTTCGTCCATGGCACTTTTCCACTTCTTGTCTCGTAACACTTCTTCAACACTGATGTTTTCAGCATCTTCCAGAAGGCACACAAGGTGTGCCTCATTTGTCGAATCATATAAATCTTGCAAACTTCATATTATGGGTTGTAGAGGTTCATCTTCATCTTCAATATCTTCATGTTCTGTTGAGATGCTTGTTGGTACAACTATATATGATTCTTCAACTGCATCAATAACTTCTGTCAAATTGTTCCAGTCTCACTTTCTTGCTTCGTTTATTTGAACCTCTCTACTCACAATCACTTTCTTGCTTATGGGATCGAATAGCTTGTACCCTTTTGTCTTCTCATCATATCCAATGAATATATACTTTTGACTTTTGTCTTCAAGTTTTGTTCTTCGTTGATCCGGTACATGTGCATAAGATACACTACCAAATACTTTGAGATGGGAAACTGTTGGCTTCTGTCCACTCCATGCTTCTTGTGGTGTTTTATCTTCTAACTTTGAATGTGGATATATATTCTGAACATAAATAGCACATTGTACAGTTTCTGCCCAGAATTATTTCGACATTTTCTTGCTTTTAATCATTTATCAGATCATGTCAAGAATAGTTCGATTCTTTCTTTCAGCCACACCATTTTGCTGAGGTGAATATGGTGTAGTTAGAAATCTCCTTATGCCCTGCTCTTCACAATACTTCATAAAGGCCGTCAAAGTGTACTCACCACCTCTGTCAGATCAAACTGCTTTGATATGTCTGTCGGTTGCCTTCTCCACCATTACTTTGAACTTTTGAACACCTCTAATGCTTCAGACTTTTCTTTCAAGAAATAAATTCAGGTCTTTCGTGAGAAATCATCGATAAAGGAAATGAAGTACCTTTTTCCACTGAAGGATTCTGGAGTGATTGGCCCACATATGTCAGTATGAATCAATTCGAGAATATGTTTAGCTTGATATTCTGCCTTATTTTGAAATGAGGTTCTTGTTTGTTTGCTGAGCACACATTCTTCACAAAACTTTCCTTCATAGTCCATGTCTGGTAGTCCATGCACCATGTTCCTTTTTGCCAACCTTCTCAATCCAGCATGATGTAGATGACCAAAGCGCATATGCCATAGTGACGTTTTGTCTTGCATTTCGACTTGCAGACATTTCTCTCGAATGTTCCCCAGGTTCAGTTTGTACATTCGATTTCTTTCCATTTCGACACGGGCGATTAGATGTCCTACTTTGTTCTTTAAATGCAGTATTTGATCTTTCATAAGTATCAGAACACCTTTTTCTGTAAGTTGTCCCAAACTCAAGATGTTGGTCTTGAGATCTGACACATAGTAAACATCTTCGATTGATCCAATCAAGTCATCCTTCTACAAGTAACTGATTGTGCCCTTTCCTTCGACCTTCACTTTCGATGCATCTCCGAAAGACACATTACCATCTTCAATTTTCTTCATTTCTTTAAACAGGTATTTGTAACCACACATGTGATTACTTGTTCCTGAGTCAAGATACCAAACATTGTCATTATTGGTGTTGATTTCGTTTTGAGCCATCAGGAGAAAGCCTTCATTCACTTCAGGTTTCAAGTCTAGATTGGTTGTTTCTTCAATCTTCTTTTCGATTCGACAATCTTTTGCAAGATGTCCCACTTTATCACAGTTGTAACATTTATAGGAGTTGCAATCTTTCGCGTAATGACCATACTTCCCACACTTGTAGCATTCGAAGTTGGAGTGGTTCGATCGACCACCTTTTTGACCATGTCCTCTGCCACGCCAATTTTGTTGGTTCGATTGTCCTCTTTCGAAGTTGCTGCTTTGACCATTTCGACCATTGTCACGGCCTCCACGGCCACGTCCTCTTCCTTGAAAGTTTTGAGAAAAGAGTACATTTTCGTCTTTGTTCAACTCCTTGGTTTGATTTGCTTCTTCGACTGCTTCTTCCTTCTTTTTCATCTTTCATTGTTCATGTGCTTCGAGAGAACCAACGAGTTCTTCGACTGAGAGCGTCGAAAGGTCCTTCGACTCTTCTATTGCACACACAATATTTTCAAATTTATCTATTAAAGATCTCAAGATCTTTTCAATAACTCGTGCATTAGTTATTGTTTCTCCATTTCTGGTGAGTTGGTTCACCACCTTTTGTACAGGTGCGATGTAGTCAGATACAATTTATGTCTCCTTCATTTGTATCCTCTCCAATTCGCCACGAAGAGTTTGGAGTCGAACTTGCTTCACTCGATCCGCTCATTTGAACACTTTTCCTAACGTGTCCCATGCTTCTTTCGACGTAGTTGAACCAGCAATATTTTCAAAGCCTGATTCGTCTACAGCCTTGAACAACATGTATAATGTCGTTTTGTCCTTCGATCGCATCTCTTTCAGCGCCTTATTTTGATCTGCCGTATATCCCCCAACATCTGTTGGTTCTTCAAACCCATCTCTGGTCACATCCCACGTGTCTAGAGATCCAAGAAGAGCTTTCATTTGGATACTCCAGTTTTCGTAATTTGACTTCGTTAGTTGTGGCAACGACATTTGATTCATCATGTTTGCCATTTGCTCTGATACCAATTTGTTAAATAAGGAGAAAACTTCTACTTCTTGTTGTTGTTAAAAATAAAATACAATTTTGATCTTTATATAGACCCAAAAACTTCTACTATTATAGGAAAGTAAATACTATTAGTAAATACTATTTTAACTCACTATCTCTTGACCTTTCAAATTAGATTTGATTTTTAACCTTTCCACTATCTTATTTAATAAAAAAAACCCACTACTAATAATATTTAAAATTTATTCAACATTTCAGATGTTATTGAGGTGGTCATTCAGGCAAAAGTTGCATTCACTCGGATTCTAAAATTCCTCGAGGCACCTGAACTGCAGAGTGAAAGTGTTAGGAATAGGTGTTCTGATGGCAGGGATCAATTTCAATCAAGTCTGCTGAATTTTCATGGGAAGATAGTAATGTATCAAAGTCAACTTTGAGAAATATAAATTTGGAAGTTAGCCCTGGACAAAAGGTCGCGATTTGTGGAGAGGTTGGCTCAGGAAAATCATCTCTCTTAGCAGCAATTCTCAGAGAAGTTCCTAACACTCATGGGAAAGTAATACTTTTGTTTTGACTGTTATTTCGCTTTTTAGGTCTCTTCTGATCTTAGCATTGTTGATCTTGATGTTCCATTTGGCCTTCTTTTCTCTGTGGTAGCTACTATGACTTGTTATGCAAATCTAACTGTTTTAGCTGTTGTTACTTGGCAAGTCTTGTTTGTCTCCATACCGATGATTTATTTTGCGCTGCGCTTGCAGGTAATGAACAAATTCTTTGAATTGAATTGCAGTGATGATTTGGTGTTCAATAGTTTTTACATTAATACATTATAGTTATCTTTCATAGATTTAAAATGTGATTGTTGCTGGAGATACTACTTTGCTTTTTTCATGCAGAGATACTACTTTGCTACAGCAAAAGAACTGATGCGGATGAATGGCACAACAAAATCCTTTATAGCTAATAATCTTGCAGAATCTGTTGCTGGAGCTGTGACAATAAGGGCTTTTGAAGAATAAGATCGTTTTTTCGTAAAGAACCTTGATCTAATTGATATCAATGCTACTCCTTTCTTTCATAATTTTGCCGCAAACGAGTGGTTGATTCAGCGGTTAGAAACAGTAAGTGCAGTTGTTCTTGCATCTGCTGCACTTTGCATGGTTGTACTTCCAACCGGAACATTCTCCTCCGGTGAGATTTCTTCTACTATTGCATTTGGAATGTCCCATTAATGCTTTGTATGGGACAACGACAGTTATTCTGTTTGGGCCGTGCTTTACTGAGGAAAAGTCGGATATTGGTGTTGGATGAAGCAACTGCGTCAATTGACAATGCAACTGACTTGATTCTGCAGAAAACCATTAGGACTGAGTTTGCTGATTGTACGGTAATCACAGTTGCTCATAGGATATACCAACTGTGATGGATTGCACCAAAGTTCTTTCCATCAGTGATGGTAAGTAGCATATTAACTCACTATTACAACACCTAAAATTGAAGGTAGTTGATTGCAAATTTGAACATTTAGCACATGTTGTGGAGAAAGCATTTGATCCTTTCATTATTTTGTTCTAAGAAAATAAAACGTGCAATTGAATTTTCAGGAAATTTAGTAGAGTATGATGAGCCAATGAACTTGATGAAGAGAGAAGGATCTTTGTTTGGGAAGCTTGTCAAAGAATACTGGTCTCATTTTCAATCCGCGGAATCTCATTAAAATTAAAATTGCTTTTTTCAGTAGCCCTTATTCTTAAGCGCATTGCCCCTTTCGGATCTCACGTTTGGGGAACTTTGTACACTCCAGACTGTGTATCCTAAGCATTGGCGGCATGGAAGGCATCACCCAAAGTTCTTCACCCTGGCAGGCTAAGGAGCACATATGATACTGATCCCGGACTGTGGCGGGATATTGCACCAATAGGGGTCGGAAGAAGGCGTAAAAGCTGCCTACGGACGAGATGCCCCAGACATGTCTTTATGAGCATTTATAGTCATGATCAACATTTCCAAAACTTGCCCCTCAAGCCCCATAATGAGTGAATATTTGCAATTACAATCATTGATTGACATTCATACCATTTGTCCCCCCTCCTCATGATGGAGAGGATCCCTATAAATGCAAGCGACCTTCAAACCAATAAGGCATCCAAATCATGAAGAAAAAAAGTCATCCACTATGACTATCTTATGACTCTATCTGACTAGTTTCATAGATGTTATCAAATTGGTGCTCTTAACGTAAACATTTCGCGCTCATCACAGGGTTTTTGTAAAACTTTTGAGTCACACAAAATTACAAACCAGATGACTCGTCGTCTTCACATATGGTTCTCAAACATTGGAAACCTTCGAGACTGATTTAGAAAAATGCATTTCAAACAAATATTCCAGACTCAAGAATTGGTATAAGAAATATGCACCAACACTTGATTTGAAGGATAGAAAAGTTCATGTTGAATTTCAAGAAAAATCAAGAAAGGAAGAAATGATCCTGAAACTCAAAAAATCCAGCTCCTAGAAAATGAAGAAAAGTCAAGAACGCTTGAAGAATCTTCATCATATTCAAAAAGAATAATTGAAGAATAAACACCAGATATCTCGTTTGGAAGATTTGTCAAAGTAAATGAAACACCCTCTGAAGAATCAACATTCGAGTTTTTTTTTTGGAAATTCATCATATCAATCATCTCTGAAAAGAGGAATCAATGGAAAAAAACCTCAGAAGAGTCATGTAGAGATTCATGCAAATACATATTTAAAGATATACTCGATAGTAGGTTTGAAGATTCTCATGAAGTATCTTTTCAAAAAAGACAAAGAAATCTGAATAAGACGAATGCGTCTATTCAAAACCACAAAAAAAGACAATGCCACTGAGGTAAGAAAATGTTTAAGTTAAGTGGCATGCTCAATAAAAAGAATGAAAAGTTAGAAAGAAAACATAGAGTTTAAAGATGAGATACATTTTCTAGAAAATAATAATGGAATTCTCTGGGAAGAAATAACTGATAATAGAAATTACACTTTAAAATCGGATAAATGTGAAACTTATGTTTCATTAAGGAAAGAAGTAAATGATTTACATGAAAACCTAGGAAAATTTACTAAAGTTAATTCTGTCCAATCAAAGAGCCACCTATAATAAGAATGAATTGGATTTCAACCAAATTAATCATTCATTAGTATTTTCCATGATATAAATAAATCTAATCGCCGCGTGCTTAAATGCAAGTATTGTTATTTGAAATTGCATGATTTAGGATGGTCAAAGGTAAATTCCTAAAGTCTTCTTCAAATCACTAACATTAAAGGACTCAAAAATATTTGGGTATTAAAGATTAAAACCTAATTTATATTGCAGAAATGTTTTGCTGTTTTGAGGACTTAATTGTAAATTAAGAAAAAATATGCAAATCATGAATTTGAAGCTTCCACCAGAAGATAGTTTTGTTGATATTGATGGTTGTGGAACTCAGTGATTCAACTCCCGTGTCAAGTAATTTTGAGATATGGAGAATCAACATGATGTCGTTATCTTCAATGAGTGAGATCTCAAAAGTGTTTGAGAATTTGAGGTAAAACACTTTATAAAGAATAAAAAATCGGAAAGCTATGATTAAATGCTCTAACGAGTGGTGTTTATACACTTAATAAATTCATTTTATTATTGCTAACATTTTTAGTTTGTGATAAATATAAGTTTAAGAAAATGATGCCAAGGAAAAATGAGAAAATAAATGAGAGGTAAAATTTTGATAATAAATGGATGCAGAAAGAAGAATGAGCAAAATTCCAAAGCCATCCAAGGTTCAAAATCAGAATTTCATCGATTAACCCTAAAAAGCTAATCGATTAGGCGTGACTGAAATTCAAAATTCGTACGACCAAATCGATAACCCTAATGGCCTAGTTGATTAAATATATTTTTTCTCAAATCTTCATAAAATTAATAGTAGTTTATTCAAGCCAGCGATCATATCTTCTCCAAATCTCAATCAAACCAACTCATTAATCATAAACGTTGATTATGTCAATCTTCATGAAAATCTAATCGATTAACTAAGGTCTTAATCGATTATAAATCCTATTTTGACAAGTTTTTCAATCAAATCTTTTTGGACCAAATCACTCTGATTTTATATTATTCTTCTCTCCAAAAATAGCTCAGAAATACACTATATAAAGTACACACTCGTCTCATTTCATTCATTCCAAATTATTTCCTCTTCTTTTGTTTGTGTAAGTGTTTACCTGTGTTATTATTATCATCATTACGACGGATCCTTTAATTAATCATTGTATTGGAAATCCTTCATCAAAAGGTTGTCCCTCAAAGGCTTCATCATCCAAATTTCAAGAAGAAGAGGATTTCTCCAACCACCACGTGCTCAGGTCCTTCTTAGTGGATGAGAAGTTTCTCAAATATTTCTCTCCCTATGAGAATGTTTTAAAGAGTTTCTCAAAGGATTCTTCATTGCAAAACCAAATCTGGTGTATCAAAGACTTGTCCAAATATTCTATGCAAACCTCACTTTTGAAGACATGTCTATTATATCAAAAGTTGGCGAAACCAAGATTAGCTTCACAGAGGAGGAACTTGTTGGAAATCCACCAAATATCTATGATGAATTTCTACACAATGACAATTAATTATGAGAAAAACAAGAAAAGAAAGAAGACAATTATTTTCTGCAGAGTTTCTCTCTGCCCACAAACTGTGGAAAACTTTGTTATTCACTTGCAACTGCAAATTATGTGAATACAACTTAATTGACTTGATTACAAAAATAGGGGTTACTCCCTCTATTTATAACTGAGCTTGCACCCTAAGTCTAAAACTACAAAATCCCAAAATACATATTTTGGTACTAAATCAAATTTATTCTATTTTAGATCTAAATCAAATCTATTTAAATCTAAAACAAATCTAATCTGTGTGCTTTTCGATACACCATAGTTTCTGACACTATGAATTATAATTTAACACACCACCTAATTTATTGTGTCTAAACTTTTTATATTTATCATGACTCTTAGTCTTCTGAATACTTCTACTTGCACTCCCTTCGTCATGATGTCTGCAATTTGATTCTCAGTTCTGCAGTGTTCCAAATTCATTTTCCCATCTGCTACCTTCTCTCTAAGATAATGGGACCTCATTCCGATGTGCTTGCTTCGACCATGTGCTATTGGATTCTCCGCCAGATTGATAGTTGACATTCTGTCTATCTTCATGGTAATTTCTCCATGATCTTTCTCTGTTATCTCTTCGACCAAGTTCACCATCCAAGTTGCTTGACATGCACTAAGAGAAGCAGATATGTATTCTGCTTCGCATGATGATAATGCCACTACTGGTTCCTTTCTTAAACTCCAAGCAACTGGTGCACCACCTAACATAAACACATATCCCAATGTTGATTTTCTATCTTCAGCATCACTACACCCACTTGAATCAGTGTATTCCACTAAATTGCATTTTTTTCCTTTATCAGCTGCAGGAAATAAAATGCCATAGTCAAGAGTTCCTTTGAGATGCCTTAGTATCCTCTTCATTGCTGCTAGATGTGATACCTTTGGCTTCTGCATGAATCTACTTACCATACCTACATTATATGCTAAGTCAGACCTTGTATGATAAAGGTATCTTAATGACCCAATAAGTCTTCTGTATTGGGTTGGATCGACATCATCTTCATCTGCATCTTTCGACAGTTGCAGTCTTGGTTCTGCAGGTGTCAAAGTTAAGTTGCATTCTTTCATCTCAAATATCTTGAGAATTTCTCCTGCATATCTTCTTTGATGCATCATCAAACCTCTACTGCTCTTGTAGAATTCAATGCCAAGGACATATGAAATCTCACCCAGATCAGACATTTCGAATTCCTTATTGAGATCACCTTTGAAGTCTTCGATCTCACTTTTGCAGCTACCTGTTATTAAAAAATCATCTACATAGAGACATAGTATAAGCAATTCACTATTTCTTCTTCTTACATATACTCCATGTTCAGTTGTG